GGTCACCAGCCGTCGACGAAAGACCACGTAGGTCAGGAGAATGTTACGTTTAGGGTTTAGGGTGTAACTTGACCACGGAGGCCTTGTTAATCACATGTACTATTTTGAGCAATTACTGTATAATCTACCCCAAAACCTCTATTCTGATTGTTAAGGCGCCTATAGTAAGCCCCTTGTAGTGGCCCTTAGAGACCCGTTTAAAAGGAACCCTTAAAGGAACCCTATCCTAATTATAGTAAGCTCTTTAAGAAGAGCCCTTACAGTAACCCTTATAGACCCCTTTAAAACGGAACCCTTAAAGGAACCCTAGTCTTGTTATAGCAGGCTCCTTAAGAAGAGCCCAGCATCGGCGAGCTCTCCGACTTCGATGGCTGTCAGCTCTTCCCCAGAAGCCCAAAAGATGCGCAGCATGTTTACCCAGAGACTCCAATATCCCTTACTTAAGGAATATTCCTGCCTTAAATCATACGAAGGTCCCCAATATGATTTAATGAATATTCCTTAATTAAGGGATGTTGGAGTCTCTGGGTAGGTGGTAATGCGTTCCGGCCGCAAGGATCTCTAAGGGTTTGGGTTTAGGGTTTAGCGTGTAGGGTTTCGGGTTTAGGGTTTGGGGTTAGGGTTTAGAATGAGTTGTTGGTTGTTCGAAGCGCCTTTTTTGGAGGTCTTTGAAATAAGAACCAGAAAAATAAGAAAATTAAATTAGTGTTAAGCCAAACCCTTATTATCATTATGATAAAAAAGGGTCGAATCGAGATTGTGATCCCGTGGCTTTCTGACACTCCCGCATGGGGATGTAATGAGGAGATCAGGGCTTGCGGGTCTAGGTTTGCGGTTTGCAGTTTAGGATTGAGGGTTTAGGATTTAGGGCTTAGGATTTAGGGTTCAGGGCTTCGGGCTTAAGATGTAGGGTCGGGTCGGGTGATTACGGGTGTAAAGAAGGCACTTGCAGATGGAAGCGCTGAGCAGACACGGATGTGACGATTTCAGGGCAGCATACTTGATGCTCCAAGCTGCAGCGAAACGCAACCCAAGACCCTAAACTCTGAACTCTTGACTCTGACCAAATTCCGAAACCCTAACTGCAAACCCTGAACCCTACAAACCCAAGCCATGTTTAGGATCTGCGCTGGGGGGCGCTCGAGGTCAGAAGCTCAACCCAAAACTCCGAAAACATCGAACTCAGCCCTTGAAAGCAGGTAAAGCGCAGCAGGAGTTCAGGGCTATAGCTTGCTTACTGGGCTCTAGGATTCTAGGGTTTAGGGTCTACAAACAATCGAATGATGTAGCCTGCCTTGCATTTCACGGAAGACTTGAAGAGCAAGTAACTGATGCTCCCTTCTTCATGCCGTGAGTGCAACTCTGTGAGGGGAACTCAAGTTTTCCAACCCAAAGCCCCGAATCGTTAGAAAAGAACTAAAGCTGGGTTCTTCTTAAGGGATTTAGTTTAAGTTACCATAATACAGAAACCGTATTGTTTACTACAGATCCTTACTATGGCATTATGGTAACTTAAATTAATAGGGTCCTTATATTTGATCTGGATCCTACTACTTGGGGTACCATATTAGGGTCCCCTATGTTTCGGAAAGTCCCAATTCTTCAACAAGAACCCAAAACCCCCCTTAAACCCTAATAAAATACTATCGTTAATATTCTCTTGGGTTTTATATGAACAATCATTATTTTTAAGGAGATTATAGAACCCAGCTTAAAGCTTTAGGGGGCTCGACTGCCGGGGTTGAGGGTTTGGCTTTAGAGGCGCGTGTTAGGGGCTCCGGGGTGCAAGTCGAGGTGTGCGGGTCGAGAGGTTCGGTTAAGGGCTTTAGGGTTTAGGGGTTTAAGGTTTAGGGTTTAGGGGTTTAAGGTTTAGGGTTTAGGGGTTTAAGGTTTAGGGTTTAGGGGTTTAAGCTTTAGGGTTTAGGGGTTTAAGGTTTAGGGTTTTGGGGTTTAAGGTTTAGGGTTTAGGGGTTTAAGGTTTAGGGTTTAGGGGTTTAAGCTTTAGGGTTTAGGGGTTTAAGGTTTAGGGTTTAGGGGTTTAAGGTTTAGGGTTTAGGGGTTTAAGGTTTAGGGTTTTGGGGTTCAGAGTTTAGGGTTTAGGGGCTTGGAAATGGGAGGTTCAGTATGCAAGGACCAGGGGTTTAGCGATACGGAGTAAACTGAACATACAAAGTCCATAGCCAAAGAGCAAGACCACAAAAACAAAAAGATGTTGGTAGGACTGCTGTCACACGGGTGATCGACCTAAGATACCCCATCGACACCAAAACCTTCACATCCAGATTATTCACATAAGCCCTACACTCTGTAAACCTGAAAGCCTGAAACCCAACAAAGTGCAATGCCTCCCTCGAAATTCTGCACTGGACTCAACTGTTGCAAGCGACGAGGTATGGGGGTTCCTTTCTTATGCCAGCCCCATCTATTTATCTACAACCTGTCTTTGCACACATACAAAAACAAGTACACAATTACCGCTCATGGGTTGGATTGGGCTGATGTCTATTCCTTTCCAGTTTGCATGCTGCAATGCACATTTGGAGTTTCCGAAAATAGAGGACCCTAATATAGTACCCTAAATAGTAGGATCCTTATTATAAGGACCCCAAAACAAGGTACCCCTAAATCTCGGAAAATCCCATTTCTTTTTCGACTTTCGGCATCCCGGGACCGACTGCAAAGGGGCGCTCCATCCTGGGCAGACTTGTGCGTAGGGTTTACTTAGAGGATCATGGGACTTAGTAAGTAGGTTATAATTGGGGTTATAAGTCCCCTAAGGGGGGTTATCCTACTTATAACCTACTTATAACCTTACTTACTAAGTCCCATGAGCCTTCAAGCAGGGGTCGGAATGGGAGTTTCCGAATATTGGGCTACCTTATTTTGGGGTCCTCATGATAGGGATCCTACTTATTCAGGGTACTATATTAGGGTCCCTTATGTTCGGAAACTCCCAAATGACTCGGGATACCTAGGATCCACTTACAGTCCCCATCTACGTGCATACCAAAACGCGCAAGCATAAAGGCATCTACGTTGACATTTGGGTTCGGCCTTGAGGCGTCGGGACAAAGCCTTGCCTGAACGTTGAAGTAGAACACGACCAGATAATGCTGAAAAGGGGCGGCCACCTAAACTCTAAAGCCCTAAACCCTAAAGCCCTACACCCTAAAGCACTAACCCTAAACTCCTTAATTAAAGCACTAAACCATGAAGTCTTAAACCCTGAAGCCCTTCACCCTAAAGCCCTAAACCCAAAAGCAAGATTTTTAAACCTCCGTGCTCATCCAAAGCACTCCGCTGATGAACTTGGTGTTTAGGGTTTAGGGTCTGATGTGAATACAACCTGAGGATCATGTGAGCTGCTAGTTCGTTTGTTATAATTACCCTGCCTTCTTGAGCCACAATTAACCTACTATTTCGCAGGATTTTGGACTACCGGCACCCGAAACCGTAACAGACCTACCAACAATCAGAAAGCTCCGGCACAACTGCTTTTTGTGACCATTGCGTCGACACAGTGCAGTCATGCGGCCAGCGCAAAGCAAGCGCAACACAAATCAACCTAGAATGCCTCCCGACGGAGTTGCAGCTCGTTTTCGGGGTATAGGTTCGGGTTCAAGGAAAGCTTGAAGGATTAACCCTGAAGTTCAATCGAGAGCCCTATAAAGTTGTGTGCCACTGCCTTAGTCATAGTGCTGACTAACTAGCAGAGGCTGGCAGATATGGGGCTTAGGGTTTGGTTTCAGGGCCACCCCACATGCCTAAAGGCTAAAGAGCAACACGCAGACCTTACCATCTACAAAAAGGTAGTCTTACGGTACGTCCTGCTGTGGCTGTATAAATGTTATGAACTTTTTGGCGCAGAAGTTGCAATTGCGCGATTCCTAAGCCATGCTTTTGAGCGGTCGTCTCCCAGGAAAGGACTTGAATGAATTGAACTGAAGGCCACGCCGAACACAGAACCCCCCTCCACTGGCTTTGTTGGAGGGGAGTTACGTTTCGACATTCGGACACTTGTGATCCTAAGCTTGAAACAGGACCACAAGCGGATGACGAAGGCATCAGGACTCCACTCCGCGGGTGGCGCGAGTCCAACGGGACCCGCAAAACCCCACAAGACTTCAGAAAAGACAATCCGAAGGCATAACTGAACCCGGAACTCCCTGACTACTTCGATTCTGACCAAACACTCCAAAATTCCCGGACTACGGAAAAGGAAATTTTCCGTCAACTACTAGCACGGGGCCCTTTGCAGGGAAGCCTTACAATACCCTATATCCTAAAAACGCTGGGATAGAAAGATACATTAAAATTGCGGGGAAGCTCTTCGGGGCGTGTGCATGCTGAAGGGTTTTGGGTTTAGGACTTAAGGTTTAGGGCTTACCGATTTAGGGATTAGGGCTTAGGGGCTCAGGGTTTAGAGCTTAGGGGCTCAGAAGGCTAGCGAGTTAGGTGACGGTGTCTCGAGATGAAGACTTACACTAGGGCTTAGGGCTGAAGGCTTGGAAGCATGGTTCAGGGTTTAAGGTTTGGAGATGAGGGGTGAATTCGGAGCCCGAGGTAAGTGAAAAGAGTTGAGGGTTAAGGACCACTGGCTAGTGATATTCCGTCGAATGCAGCATTCGAAACCCTCCCCAGTCATGCCAAGACACTCCCCAGCCGTGCTTCCACCAAGACCACCGTCAGATATTCAGGGAGCCCTGTACCCATTTACAGCAGAACCTCTTTCTGTTAATGGGGCTACTTCGATGATTTGAGAAGTAGCGGGGTGCAATCATGTAGCGGCCTAAATAAATACCAATACTATGTGGGGAGTTCCCTAGTATTAACTATAGTAGAATGGCTGGACCACACTCTGATTCTTAAGGCCCCTATATTGTAGTGCCCTTATAGATCCCTTATAGTCGTAACCCCTTGTACACCCCATTAAAGGAACGCTATTCTAATCATAAGGCCCCTTCCCCACGCGTTCTGGAATCCATGAGCTTTGGCTGCTCTCAGACATTGTGTACGTTGCCAATAGAGCACTGGTCCTGGCTGCCGGTTGGAGCCCAGGGATATCCCTAAACCCAGAGACTCCAATATCCCTCAATTAAGGAAAATACCTTAAAGTATAGTGGATTATTCAGATGATTTAAGGTATATTCCTGAATTAAGAAAACCTGAAGCAAACCCTAAAGGCTAAAATGATATGGGCCTCCTTCGAAGGAAACCTCTCGAAACTTGCAGGCCCCCACATGGGCTGATGACACAAATCCTGCAGTACCCATAATAAGGAACATACCACAACTCCCATAGGCTAGGGTCCTTACTTGAAGGCTCATGGGACTTAGTAAGTAAGGTTATAAGTAGGTTATGATTAGGATAACCCCACTTAGGAGACTTATAACCCCAATTATAACCTACTTACTAAGTCCCATGATCCTCTAAGTAAGGTATTGCAGGAGATATACCATCAACAGTACTTCAAAGGTTTAAAGTTTTGGATAGTGGGAATGATCCTTCCGCAGGTTCACCTTCGGAAACCCCGAACCGACTTCTCCTTCCTCTAAGTGAAGGTCTCTGGGAGTTTCAGCTCTTGGTGTTTTAGGGTTCAGGCCGCGCGCTTCATCCTCAACCCCCGAAGTTCGTGGGCCCTGACCCTTTTCAGGGGTCTATACGGGCTACTATAAGGGATCTAATTATAAAGGTACTATAATATGGGCATATAGGGGCCTTGATGACTAGAATAGGTCTTGGGGGAGGTATAAGATGCTATAACTTTGAGGATGAACTAGAAGAGAAGGTAACTTTAGGATGGACTAGACGAGAATAAATTATGGACTACAAGCGGAAAACATGCGTTTGAGGGAAATAATATGGCTGATTCTTTCAGCTTCCAGATAGCAGCCTTACCTATACTATTGTGGGGGGTGTCGTTACTTTAACAGACTGTTAAGGGGCCCCAAAACCCTACTCTAATTATTAAGGCCAGGAGTTTCTGCCTGAGCTCACCCCTTGTCATGCGCAAGTTCCTTCCCGAGCGACCTGCTGCTCGGCCTGTAATATGCAGGCACCTGCTTCGGGCCCTTCAGGACCCTGGTGCGTGTGATGATGAGGCCATTTTTGCAGCCGTGTCTTCTGTGGTTGCCTGCCGGTGCTCCGGCAAACGTTGCGTCTCTGGATTGACGGCCTCACCGACCCTGCCCTTATCAGTGCGGGTGAAGACGTGTTGCATGTGATGCATCCAGAGCGCTTGTGCAACAGCGTGTCTGGTCGTTCCAGTGTCCCAGTCGCTTCTTCAGGCTCCGTTGTTCCAAGCATTACAGCGGTTCCTGCCGCTCGGCCTGTCCAGGTTGACTCTGTCACTTGCTTGGGGCCTGTCTCCGCGGCATGGATTGGAGCTTGGAGTCTCGGGGGCCTGCCCGTTCGCACTTTTGCTTGGCCACCGACTGCCGACCGTCTCCCTGGCTCGACTGCTTTGTGCCTCTCTTTCCCTGCTCCTCCTCAGCCGGCCTCCTGTTCTCTGTGGCCCCCTCCATGCCAGATCAAGCACCTTCGGGTCAACCGTGCCTGGTTTCAGTCAACACTTCGACTTGCGATTGGACTTGTTCTGCAAGGGTTGCCCGCCCATGTTCGTTTGCTGGTTACGGCTCGGGCCTTGACGCCGCTCGCGGACTGGTTACAGTTGCAGGCGGCTGAGACCGAAGAGGGAACCAATTGTTTCTCTTGCGAATTCGTTTCTTGTACATGTTGGCAATGGGCACGTCCTTTGGACATTTCGCCCAGCGCAGAAGAAGAACGCCCCTATACTATGGAACCCGGAACCCTATTATGGAACCCTTATAGACTCCTTTAAAGGAAGCCTATCCAGAAAAACCTTATTCTATATTTTTTCGGCCCTACATTACACAACCTCCCACAGACCGCCCCAGAAGCAGGAAAGACAGACACCTCTCAACCTGTGGTTTCCGATTTTCAGGGTCTCCGGCTTTAGTGCTGAGGACTTGGGATTTAGGGTTTAAGGCTTGGGGCTTGGGGGTCTTGGTTTTGGGGCCCAGGGTTTAAGGTTTAGGGTCTGGGGTTTGGGGTCTTGGGTTTAGGGTTTAGTGCATAGGAGCTTGGGCAGGGAACGGGCTACACAGCAAATACTCCTCTCAAACCCTAAACCCTAAACACTAAACCCTAAAACCCTAAACCCTAAACCGTGGCTCCCATGTCTAAACATGACTCAGACTCCTGGAATCTATAGTACTGCTTGGTCTTTCCTAACGAGCACCGAATGCCTGAAACTCTCAGACCTAGACCCCCAAACTGAAACTGTGAACTCAAGAAGCTAAAAGCTCCAAAGCCTAAAACCTTAACACCCCAAACCCTAAATTAACCTGAAATCTCTACACCCCCCTAACCCTAAACCCTAGAATCCAAAGACCCTCCAGACCCTCAGCCCGGAACAAAACCCTAAACTCGAAGCCCCAAAACCATGCAGATTGGGCCACAGTTTCCTTGAAGGCCCAAGGCTCATGGGACTTAGTAAGTAGGTTATAAGTAGGTTCTAATTGGGGTAACTCCATTGAGGGTACTTATCACCCCGATTATAACCTACTTACTAAGTCCCATGATCCTCTAAGTTGGGTTAAGAAGTTAGGGGACCACCCCGCCTCGCAGTCTTTGAAGGGGAAGCGTCCCTCCTTCGCAGGACGGCAAGCACCGCCGGACTTCAGGTAGGCTTTCTCCTCGGGTGAAGGCTTTTCGGGTTTAGGGCTATGGGTTCCTTTAAAGGGGTTCCTTTAAGGGTTGTTGAAGAGGCTTTTAAGGGATCTATAGTGGGGGTTTGGGGTTTGAAGGTTTTGGGTTTCGGAGTTTAGGGTTTGGGGCTTAGGGTTCAAGGATTTGGGGGCTGCGGCCGGGGCTGTAAAGGGTTGGGGCGGTTGGGGTGCTTAGAGGATCAGGGGACTTAGAAAGTAAGGTTATAGGTAGCTGATTGGGGTTATAAGCAGCTATAAGTATGGTTACCTTGTTTGTAACCCTAGTTACTAAGTCCCATGATCCTTTAAGTAGACCCTAAACCCTAAACCCTATAGATCCCTTTAAGGAACCCTAAAGATCCCTTTAAAGAGCCCTTTATTAAGAACCCTATGAAAAGATGACCCTGTACGTGTTGATTGGGGATGTGTTCAGGGTTTTAGGGTTCAGCGGGTTGCTAGTGCAAGCAGGCGCTAGTTACGGTCTGCGGCATCGCCTGCGTCCTCTTCATGACCTTCTTTGAAGCCCTAAACCCTTAAACCCAAACACCACCACCAAAAAAAAACAAAGCCTAAACCCAAACACCACCACAAAAAAAGCTAAGCCTGAACCATACTCCTAGACATCCCAAACCCGACAGCCCTCAATCCGACTCTGGGCTCTTGTGGCTGTGTCCATGCAGTGGTGCTTACCATGTCAATATGGGAGTTTCCGAAAATTAGGGGTACCTTATTTTGGGGTCCTTATAATAAGGATCCTACTATTTAGGGTACCATATTAGGGTCCCTTATTTTCGGAAACTCCCATGTCAATATCTCAGCAAGGTTCAGGAATATATCGGCGTTTCCAAATAAGGGGGTTACCCTATTTGGGGGTCCTTGTAATGAGGATCCTAGTTATGATATGCGGGCCTCAACCATGAGAATTGGGTTTTAGCGATCAGGCTTGTGTGGGAGCCCCCATAATGAGACTAGGGCTTTGGGTTGGGCTTGGGGGTTCGGGAATTGAAGAAACGATCCAGTTCCCTTCGTAAGGATCTCCTACCAGGATCTGAGAAGCCTTCGTAATATTAAGCCGGGGTGGGAAGAGATTGAGCCGTCCCACGGCAAGGCTGGGCTCTTGTTGATGAGTCGAATTTAAGGTTTCATTCTAGGGACCTATAGCAAATACAATGGCTTTCTTGTTCTGGAAGCTTGCACTGAGGTTCTGAACCCTAGCCCCGAGAGTCCTTGTAGAACCCCCAACGAACCCTGGTTATGAAACCCAAACTCCCGAAATTAATATGGTGTGGTGTTGGTCTCCAAAACTGCACTTGACAAACCCCACTTGATAGGACAGTCTAGACGAGAGACTGAACAATGCGGTATGTCCTTTGCTAGGGCTAGTAGGCTGCTAAGGAAAACTACATCAAACGACAGCCAAGTACGAACGATTCACAAAACCTAAAGCCCAAGCCCACACCAAAGTCTGATGGAGGCCAGACTCCGATGTCTGACGCTTCAGCTTGTGCTTGCCTGGACGTGCGAAAGACAGTCGAGGAAGGAAAGGAGGTTCGAGGTGTAGGGCTTCGGGTTCAGAGGTTTCGGTGCTTTGGGATGCCGGGTTTATCCTAAATCCTAAACCCGAAACCTTAAACCCTAAACCCGAAACCCTAAACCTTAAACCCTCAACCCGAAACACGAAACCTTAAACCCTAAACCCGAAACCTTAAACCCCAAACCCGGAACCCTAAACCTTAAGCTCTAAACCATAAACCCGAAACCCGAAACCTTAAACCCCAAACACAAAACCCGAAACCTCCAACCCTAAACCCCCAAAGCCGAAACCTTAAACCCTAAACCCCCTTGAAAGGAACCCCTAGACACTTCAGGAACCCCTAAACCCTTAAAGGAACCCTCCAAAGTCTCATTTGCAACTGTTAGTAGAACGAGCCCTTGATCGAACCTTCGGTCAGGCTCTAGGCCCAACTCCCCAAGCCGGTTTAGGGCTTAGGTTTAGGGTTTAGGGTTTAGGGTTTGGGGTTTCTTGACCCAGAGGCCCATCAGCCCCAAGTAACTCAAACCCCCGAAATCCCAAAACCATACACATTGACTCGCTGGCCAGAAACGAAGTCCACTAACCCGCTGACACTCCCATTTCATCCTCAACCCTGAATTTCCCTTTAACACTGGACTAAACACTGAGCCCTAAAGTCTGGGATTTTATTTTTATTCGTAGACACTGGACTAAATCCAGAGCCCTACATACTCAACCAAAACCCAATGCCCACACTCCAAACCTGCAAATTTACCCTGTCAGCCCTGAGCCACACCCTAAACCCATAAACCCGAAACCATGAAAACCCCAAATACCCTGGAAACACTTCCAAACCCAAAACCATAAAAAATTGAAATCCTATGACAGACCTTGCTGCCGGCATGACTCTACATCAACCCGTCAGCCCTTCAACCACTCAAGCATCTAAACCCCGTACCTCAAACTCACAACCTCTGACGAAACCCAAAATAAACCTTAAACCCCAAACCCTTGCTGCCGGCATGGTGCAGTGGAACCCTCCTGTTTCTCCGGACAGCCACTCTGCGGGGCCTCAGGGAAAATTGTATTTTGGGGATTGTAGGGTTTAGGGGCCCCGGGGTTGAGGGGTTTAGGGCCGGGTGTAGGCTGTGGGTCTTTAGGTTCTTGAGTTTCTGGGTTTGAGGTGAAGGGTCTGAGACGACTTGTAGACTTACCTTTGGTTAGTAGGGAATGGAAGAATGGAAGTAATAGTAGTTATAATTGCACCCCATTCCTCCATTCCTACCAACCAAAAGTAAGTATAGGGCTGTGTGCGAGATATCATGCGGCGTGCACGGCTTCTTCTCCGGATTTGGAGGCTGAAGCCACACAGGAGTCGGGGTTAAAGCCTAAACCCCTAAACCCCTAACCCCGAAACCCTATACCCCTAAACCCCTAAACCCCTCAACCCCTAAACCCCTGCACCCCTAAACCCCTAAACCCCTGCACCCCTCAACCCCTAAACCCCTAAACCGCTAAACCTCTAAACCGTTTGAGCAACCTTGGGCTTCGAGTTGAAGTGGAGACCGTAGTATACGGGCCGGCATTAATGATCAGAACAGGGTTTAGGGTTTAGGGTTTGCCGTAGAATGGCGCAGAAGCGAATGATCTTGGACCAGTGTCTTTTCGAGTGCGTCGTCATGTGACGACTGGCCGTTAAAGCCTGATTGTGGATGGCTCTCTCTTTTAATTCTCCCACCCCACGCCGTCTAAGGCGGCCAAACCACCCAAACCTACTCCTTTTAGGGTTTAGCGCCTAAACTCATTCCAAGGTTTTCTCTCTCTTGAAACCGCAAACCGCAGGGCCGGCAGGCAGAGCAGAGGCAGGCAGGCAGGGCAGGCAGGGCAGGCAGGGCAGGCAGGGCAGGGGGGCCCAGGGAGGCCCAAGCAGGGTACAGGGGAGCAGGGGAGCCCATCGGCCCACCAACCGGGAAAAAGGTGAGGCCAGAGAGCCCAAAAAGCAGAGGTTAGGGGGGCCCGTGAAGGGCGGGACCAGTACTGGTCCCGAGGAAAACCTGCTCCGGTACCGGGCATGGCTGTGGAGAGGCGGGCAGGCGTCTTGGGTCGCTCTGCGCCATCGAGGTCGAGGGGCTTAAGCGCCGCCCACCCACAGTAGGTGGGCGGCCTATGCCTTGAGTTTAGGGTTTAGGGTTTAGGGTTTAGGGTTTTGGGGTGTTTTGGGGTTTATGATGATTTAGGATATACTACTACCAGGGACTGTAAGGGTACTGCCACTCATACTTCAGAAACCCTGAACCCTACACCCAAAACCCTAAATCCGAAACCCTAAGCCTAAACCCTACACTGCGGGCTCGGGATTTCGTAACCTTAAACCCTAAAGCCTTGAACCTTGGACCCCCAAGGCCTCCGACGTGCTCTAGGGCTCCGGTTTCTATGAAGATCCAATAAGGGCTCTTTCAGGGTTCTTGTTAACGTTATATAAGGGCTCCTGAACCGGGGCTCGATATTGAGCTTTTGAGAAGGTTTCTATGAAGATCTATAAGGGCTCCTTTTGGGGGTTCCTGAACCTTGAAACATGAACCACTGAAACCTTCAACTTTAGCCTGGTTTGGGGCTTTGGACTGTTGTGGCCTCGACGTTGGGATCGGTTAGGGTTTCGGGCACGCCTCCAAAAACATAAAGTACTCCGGGACCTCCAACATCTCAGGAGATATTTAGCCCGGAAAACGAGCTGATGAAAGCATGAAACTCTACAAAAAACCGCCCACAACCTGTACACACCTTGTGGAACCGTGTCAAAACAAGCAATTTAGAAACCCTATTTAAACACCCTCGGAAAACCCCAATTCGAGGATCACAAGTATGGCTAGTATAGTGTTATCTTATGTACAACCCTCCCTACTACCCTAAACTAGCATCACGCACCATAACACCATGACGCAGGGTTTTGCAGGCTCTGATTATGAAACTTAATAAAGAATTTCTACGGATCCTACAAAAAGTTAGTTTTGGTAGTTTGAAGTAAGTCCCATGGTCCTTTGAGTATAAGCTCTTCACGGGTCTCCTACTTGGAGGATCATAGGACCAAGTAAGTATGAATAAAAATACGTAAGTGGGGTTATGGGGTTATAAGAAATTATGAGTATAGTTACCTTCTTTATAGCCCTACAGCGAACTCCAGAAAGTTGGAACATTGGCTTAGGTTGATAAGTGCTAGGATACTCTATACTTTGCCATTTGACCATGATTTTTTAAATGTTCCAACTTCACGGCTGCTACCATAGTTACTAAGTCCCACGATCCTTTAAGTAGGAGCACCCTCCCCTGAGTGTCCCGCAGCGGTGATCTGCGCCCGCGCACGGTGGAACCTTTCTGAGGAGGATACTTAGAGGCCCAGGGGTTTAAAGTTTTAGGGATTTGGGAGTTTCCGAAAATAGGGGACCCTAATATAGCACCTTAAATAATAGGATCCTTATTATAAGGACCCCAAAATAAGGTACCCCTAATTTTCAGAAACTCCCATTTAGGGTTTAGGGGTTAGGTTTTAGGGGTTTGGGGTTCTGGGGTTTAGGGGTGCCCGGACCTACTCGAGGCCCAGGGGCCTTGCTAAGTAGGCTAGAAGTAGAGTCATAAGTGTCCTTATCGAGTTACTGAAAATTATATCCCCTCTTATCACCGACTTACCAAGTTTTCTGGGCCTCCAAGTAGAGTTGAGGTTTAGGGCTTCGGGGCCTGGAACTTCGAGGCAGATCATGCTTTCGGCTCTATAAGGGCTTCTACGAAGGGTGTGGATTGAAGTTTTGTTGCCGAGTTTCGAAGCTCTAGGCCCTTTTTGGGTTTCGGGTTTGGGATCTGGACATTGGGGGGTGGACAGCTTCACAGCCACGACCCGACTGGAATTCAGGTTTAAGGGTCTACTTAGAGGTTCATGGGACTTAGTAACTAGGGTTATAACTAAGGGAACCACACTTATATATGTACTTATAATCCCAATTAGGGTACTACTAGCCTTACTTGCTAAGTCCCATGATCCTCCAAGTAGGGGCCTGATTACTTAGAATACGGTCTTGGAGTAGAAACTAAAACCGTAGGGAATGGTCTTGGTACGGTTGATGATATATATATCCCGCACTACCCTAAGGACCCTAAACTATGGGAATCATGGTATCTTCCTTATTACGGGCCCCGGGTTCCCCTCAACAAACACAGAGGCTGCAAAAAAGGTAAAAGAAGCAGCAACAACAGATGGAACAACTACTACTGGAACAACTACTACGGGTACAGTACTAGCACCGTTTGTGCTGTTCCAACACGGACAGAGCGGGTGAATAAAAAACTAGATCCGCGATGGTGATGAAAGTGATAATGGTGATGAGGGTGATGAGGGTTATCAGGGTTTTGAGGGTTCTGAGGATTATGAGGGCATCCATGGTCTTGGCGACGATGACAATGATGATGACAATGATGGTGATAGTGACCCTCCATGGCGACGGCTAGGGATCCACCCAAACAGTCTCAATTTGCAAGCAAAACACTATCTACGACTATCGTTTAGGCAAGCAGCGTGGTGAGAGCTGTAGGAACCGCGCATCTTGTAGTGGCCCCCCATTTTGTGCGAGTGGCCACTATGATGGTAGGAGTAGTGGCCACCATGCTCGTAGTGCGAGGATCCACCGTGGTGGTATGAGCCCCCGACGGTGTACGAAGAGCTGCCATGGTAGCCACCATGATGGTAGGAGCCCGAATAAGATGGCGTATGAGAAGAGCCACCGTGATGGTAGGTGTAGGAGGAATCACCATCGTGGTATGAGCCGCCGAGGGTGTACGAAGAGCTGCCGTGGTAGCCTCCGTGATGGTAGGAGCCCGCATAAGATGGTGTATAAGAAGAGCCACCGTGATGGTAGGTGTAGGAGGAATCACCACCGTCGTATGAGCCCCCGAGGCTGTAGGAAGAGCTGCCATGGTAGCCACCACCATGGTAAGAGCCCGAATAAGATGGCTCATACCCATGATGGTAGGTGTAGGAGGCATCACCATCCGAGTCTCCCAGAGTGTAAGCATGAGCAGAGCCACCACCGTGGAAAGAGCCTCCATGGTGGTAGGAGCCACCGTGATAGTGGGAGCCTCCGTGGTAGTACGAGCCGCCGTGATGATAGGAGGCTCCGAAGCTTCCAGAGTGCGAAGAGCCTCCATGATTAGGGTTTAGGGTTTAGGGTGTAGGGTTCAGGGTTCAAGGTTTAGTTTAGGGTTTAGGGTTTAGGGCTTAGGGCTTAGGGTTCAGGGTTTAGGGTTTAGGGTTGAGGGTTCAAGGTTTAGGGTTTAGGGTTTAGGAGAGCCTCCATGATAGTGGGAGGAGCCCCCTGACAGGGACCTGGCTCTGCCGACGTAGCACTGCGCCTTAGCCGGGCACCGCAAGCGCTCAGAGCTTAGAGCTTCTAATGGCTGTAAGAAAGCTGCCAATAAATAGCCTGAAACTTACCCCTCTCTCTCTGTCCGTCGCTCTCTCTCTCTCTCTCTCTCTCTCTCTCGCTTTCCTCTCGCTGTTACGAGTTCAAGCCCGCAGCGAATTGGACCTTGAGTCATGCTGACACCCTGCCGGGACAGCCAGACGGGAGACTACCGGCCTTCGAATGCCCCTTTAAGTTTAGGGTTGAGGCTTGCAATTGTAATGGCAAGACCTTCCCCTTCTTCTGCTGCTTCGGCGGGGCTGCAAGGAGGGCATGTACTGCCTGTTTAGCCTTAACCCGGGATGTTCTTTGAGAGTTGTCTTTTGGCGCTATAGGGGAAAAAGGGAAAGGTTTGATCATACCAACAACAACAACAATGATGACAAGAATGATAACAAGAGATCTGGGCATCAACGCATCGAGTTACTTTAGGGCCCGAGCCCTACAGCCCGAATGCCAAGCAATACTAACAATCTGGGGATTTCCCTGTCACAAACACGCAAGCAATGCGACAAGAGGAGAAGGCTCGTACTGGAGACTCAACATCGCGCGGCATCAAGAAGTAGAATGCGGCTTGATGAGCATCTGTAGGCTTTTGTAGAGTTTCAATTCAAAATGCCTGAATGATTTGAAGAGGCTACCGAGGGGGATTCCCTAAACCCTAAGACCTAAAGCCCCAGATCCTTGAATTTCTCCCCCACCGACTCTGTGGCGCTGACATGGCAATCCTCCGCAGGGAAGGCGCCAAGCTTTACCGGTCGGCAGGCTCCACCCGACGCCTGGGTTTAGTGTAGAAGTAGAGACCTTATTAGTCAGAGCAGGGACTTGGCGGTTTAGGGTCTGGGTGTTGTGTCTGTGCTGTGCTGTTTTTGAAGTCTGCTTTCCGGTGGTCATTTTTGAAACTCTTCCTTTGGTGTCTAGTTGAGGGTTCAGGGCTGACTTACGTTCAGGGTGTCTAGCCGACGGGTTCTATTGGCTATTTATTGCATGTTTGTCTGGGAATGAAGTTCCTGCTTGACTTCATCATCGCAAGTAAAAGCCCTGCCCATCGTCTGCGATGAGCCGTCCGAGTAAGCATCTTCTTGCTGTTTGGGCGGAGTGAACCCCTCTCACCAGCTGAAGTCTTATCCAGGCCCTTGGTCCTGCCCGGCAGCGAATATTCACCTGATTCGATCGAAACCGTATCCATGCCGGTTCAATCTATTTGGGCGAGCATGTCCGCGAATATTGCATATGTAAGTACATCGCTGCGATGTTTATATACTCCTCGGCTACCGTGTTGCGTGCTACCCTCCTGTCATCTTAACCCTTGTTATAGTGTCGATATTACAAAACCCGCAATATGGCTAGATGCGTGCGTCAGTACACCACTGCACGTCTGCATTGCTACCCAGTCTACGTCTATCTTATGACGTTCAATTACTGTACTGGTCTTGAAATACTTGATGGATCTTCTTGTCTACTACTGCATCAGCGTTCACATGCAATTTCTAACTGGGGCATTAGCAGCTGAGTAGGCTTTCTGCCGCAACTCTTTCCTCTATGTTTTTATGACCCTACTAGCTCTGCCACTAACACATACTGCTGACCATGCAGACGCATTTCACCAGGCTTGTGTGCTGGGGCATAAAGCTTCACAGCGTTGCAATGCAAAGCAGAAAATCATGCTGCTTCAAAAGATCGAACTGCATCAACGAAGACAGCTACCTTGCAAAACCTGAACCCTAAACCCCTAAACCCTGAACCCCTAAACCCCTAAACCCTAAACCCCTCAAAACCTAAACCCCTTCACCCTAAACCCTAAACCCTCACCTGCAGAAAGCCATGTTATTGATTTTGCGCTGTTCCTGGCCTTGTAAGCCTTGTTGGAAGTCTGCCGCGCCAGCTTGTGAAGACCTCGGAGTTTCGGCTGTTTCTTTGGGGGCTCCGTGTTGAGGGCTTACGGTTTTGGGTTAGGCTTGGGGTTTAAGGTTTGGGGTTTAGGGCTTGGGGCTCAGGGTTTAGAGCTTGGGCCTTCGGGCCAGCTAATCTCTGGAAGTCGAAGACAAGATAGCTTCATGATTCTCAAGGAAGTAGTTATGAACTTGCACTTGACAGAAAACAAGACATGCTCCAGAAAAATAGGAAACTGCTCTGAGTCGGCGCGCAGGAAATGTGAAAAACTGAAAATATGACATAATTACGAACCAGATGATAAAACAGTTGCAGTTCTTTAAAAATGAAGCCCTCAAACAAATCATTTTGTCTACATACCTTACTTTCACGAATAAGAGACGAATGAACAGACTCAAATGTCTGGTCAGCAGTGAGAACTGTGAGGTGAAAACTTAAGAAACGCGTTCCTGGCTTAGGGTTTAGGGTTTAGGGTTTAGGGTTTAGGGTTTAGGGGCGACAACCCTTAGAAGAATGAGCAGAGAAGGTTTAGATTCTCTGGAATACATCTCTGGAAGGTGGGCAGCCTCTCTAGCCGGCCGCACCTCTGGACCGAAGCAGGGGTGGCCGAGCTCACCGTTTTGGGGTTTAGGGTTTAGGGGTTTAGGGTTTAGGGATTCTGAAACTGCCCATGCTCGCCAAATCCACGTCTCCGAAGGAAGTCAAAGTGTCCCGACGTTTGTGTTGAACCTTTAGAGGAACCCTGAAAGGAACCCCTTAAAGGAACCCCTAGAGAAAGCTGATTTAGTCAAGGAGCCCTTAAAGGAACCCCTAGAGGAACCCTAAGTGGACCCCCTCAAAGGAACCCTTACAGGAAACCCTAAACCTGGGGCCGAGAAGCAGTGGTAGCCGCCGGGGGCCTTGGATTTCCAAGCTGCTGGACCTGACACGCTGGGGTGGAAAGTGGCGACCGCCACAAGGCTATGATTACGGGTACTGTCAGTGTACTTTACGGGGATCTATAAGGGTGCTTCCAAGGTATCTTTAAGTGATCCCAGCTTAGACCCTAAACCCTAAACCTCTAACCCCAAAGCGCCTGAACCCTTAAACCCTAAAGCATTAAACCCTTTCCCGCTCTTGATGGGTTTAGGGTTTAGGGTCTCACCAGTCCCGCGAATCTTTTCTACATCTTCTCCGGTAGATTGCATCGGGTGTTTCAAGGCTCGCGGAAGAGCTTGACAGGAATGCATGTGCTCTTATCGGCTTCTGGTTAAGGGGTTAGGCTTCGGTTGGGGTTTAGGGCGAATTATATACGAAGCATCTGATTTCCAGAAGCATCTGCGGCACCTCAAATCCAAGAGTTGCGCCATCAGCGCAGGCCCGGTGGACCCAGAGTTCATGTACTGTAACAGTGTTCCAAAAGAACAAAAATTGGACCCGGAAGAACCAGCCCGGCTCAACCGTTTCACGTTCACCAACCCAAGAAGATTCTCGGAAAACCGAATTACACGACGAGCGGGACATCCTAAGGCGGGGACAGTTGTTGTCCGAGTGCCCGCATCGTGGGATATCCTCAGCCACAAGCGCGGGTTCATGTTTGGCTTCTGCTTTGGTGCAGCTTGTGGGTTGTCTGTTGAAAACGCCTTTTTCCGTCTGCCCTAAGGAGTCTGAAGTGCCTAGTTCAAGCAAGACGTGAGGGTTTTGGCTGTTGGGGGTCATGGGTTTAGGATAATTAAATAATGCTTCGGGGCTTCCTTTAAGGGTTCTGGCCCCACAATAGCTCAAGTAGGGTTTCGGGTATATTATACCATAACCCTCTCAGAGTCCATGTGCCCAAATAGTATTTACATTGGCCTCAAAGTCTTCCCTGTGTAGGTACTTCGGGGCCAATGTTTTTACTATTCGGGTAGATGGACCCTTGGGGTAAGTGTAAGAAGGAAAACCTCAGGAGTAGTAAAAAGTACTTATCCCGGCCTCCAAGGCGAGCCCTGTACTGTTGGGGTTTGGGGTTTAGGGCTTAGGGCTCATTTTCAGTCTGAGTGGGAAAGCCGTGTCCCGAACCCGACATTACAGGAACCCTACCACAACCGGCTGGCACGACATACTCAGAGATCCCAATATCCCTTAATCACGGAAAATACCTTAAATTTTAGGGGCCTTCATATTATGGTTTAACGTATATTCCTTACTTAAGGGATATTGGGATCTCTGGGCAGATCCTGACCTCTATTCCGGAGACACAGGTCTGCGCAGAGAACCAGAAGTGTAGCGGGGACGTGGTGGGGCTTCTGCTGTTGGTGTTTCTATCCGCAGGTTGTTCTGCTGGCTGGCCCAGAGATCTCACTACTCTTTAATTAAGGATACCTAAAGCCATCATCTTAAATTCCCTAATTAAGGGATATTGGGATCTCTGAGTGTTGGCGCGTCATATCTTTGTCGGTGTGTGGGGCTGCCTGGCATTGATCTTGCTGCTTGTGGTAAGGCTCATGGATTCTACACTGTACATCCCGCACTATCTTAAGGACCCTAAACTATGGGAATTATGGCATGTTCCTTCTTATCGGTAATGCAGGATTTATATCATCATCCGTAAAACGTGGCATCTTCACCAGGCTTCCGCAAAGTAGAAACATGGCGCGTGCATTGTCCCGGGGGAGTATCGGAGGTCGTGTGCTGCCATTTTGCGCCGTGGTCCAGGATTTGGGTTTTAGGGTATAGGGTGTCAAGCTGCTCCTTCGTTTCAGATCTGTGTGACTCATGTGACCCTAAATCTCCAAAATCACAAGCTCTAGCAAGAGCGCCATGCTCTAAACACTAACACCCCGAAACCCCACAGCCCATGCTAGCATTAGCACTATAAGTCCTGATGCAGCAAAGCGTCCGAAGAGGACGAAGTGGACGAATGCCCCACGTGATGGCCAACATGGACGACATGATGGACAACGTGATGGACGAGAGGTTCAGAAATGCCTTCCATCGTGCTGTCATCGTACACCTCCAAGGATTTGCACAAAAGGGGTTTGGATTCGGGAGACGGGGTTGAAACAAGTGTATCTCTTGCAGGATCGTGGGACTTAGCAACTAGGGTTATAAAGAGGGTAACTATACTTAGACTTACGTATAACCCCACTTAAGATACGTTTAACCATACTTACTAAGTCCCGTGATCCTCAAAGTAGATCCTATACCCTAAACCCTATAGATCCCTCTAAGGAACCCTGTAGATCCCTTTAAGGAGCCCGTTAAGAACCCATGATCCTCCAAGTAGGGTTAGGGCATGTGGTTTGGAGCTCCCACGGCTTACAGCGCGAGAAGTTTACGGCTGCTCCTCTGGGGTGTTCAAGACCCGGGCGTCGTGCTGCAGGGCGCAAGGCTCCGGCTGTGCAATTGCGGTGCTCATAATCGCAGGGCTGAATAGAAGGTCCAATACAACTCCAAAAGAATCCTGATCTGATGACGAACTCAAAGTATTATGCAGCCAAATAGAATGCAATAGAAATCCCCTGCAACCACTCGCAACACCGATTCAAAAAACCTACATATTCAGACATCCCACACGAACAAGCCTGCTGCAAAAGCAGGTTTAGGATTTAGGGCGAAACAAACCCTTCCCTAATGTAGGGACCTTAATAGTTAGTAGATTATACTACAATTACGGCAAGGAGCCCCCCACAATTGTATAGGTAATTAAGCACACCCCTAAACGCTGTACCCTAAACCCTAAATCCATGCACACAGAGCCCTGAAGCACCGCTTCCGGCTCGGCAGAGGCGTGTGTGCCACAGAAAACCTGGAGGAGCATGGGCTTAAGGCCGGGGTTTAAAGAGCTCGTTTGTTTTGCTTCACTAGCTTGCATTATCCTCCAGAGATGTGCATGTGTGTATGTGTGTGTATATATATATATATGTATATATGTATGTGTATATATATATATGTATATATTTACATGTGAATATGCATGCACGCATGCATGCATGCATATATGTATGCGCATTCTTTTGGAGAAGAACACAATAGCCGGGCACGAGTGAAGTCTCACTAGGCATGGAGAAGTCGCAGGGTGTTTTATGTTCGTTTTGTGAGTGTGCATAAGAACAAAGATACATATATACATATATATATATATGTACATATACATGTACATATACATACACATATACATATACATATACATATACATATACATATACATACACATACACATACACATATACATATACATATACATATACATATACATGTGCATATACATATACATATACATATACATATACATATATATACATATACATATACATATACATATACATATACATATACATATACATATACATATACATATACATATACATATACATATACATATACATATACATATACATATACATATATACATATGCATATATACATATACATATACATATACATATACATATACATATACATATACATATACATACATACATACAAACAGACAGACATACAGACAGACAGACAGACAGACAGACAGACGGACAGACAGACAGACAGACAGACGTGCATGTGCGTGTGACCCTCGGCTTGCGGTTTACATCCGTGCAAGAGGGAGCACAGACTCTGTCCAAGAAGGAACACCTTGCTTTCAGTGGTTTCTGCGTTGTATTGAGAGTCCCATGTGGGTGGTTGTCAAAATTAGGGTCCCTTTTTGGGTCCTTATTATAATACGGCACCTAATATTTAGGGTACCCCAAAAAAGGGCCATAATTTTGACAACTACCCATGTGTGAAGTCGACTTACCTCTTGATTGTCTTTGCTGGAACCCAGGTAGACCCTGCCACACATACAGGCTGGTAATCTTGAATGTCGCGTTCCAACCATGTGAGCGAGCTCTGCAAAAGCGTCACTCCAAGGGTCTCCTTTTACTGCAGCCTGAAACGTCTCTCTATTCAGGCCATTAAGGCATGCGCGGCTCTTTCAAAACTGCAGAAGCTCAAAGCTATACAACCCAAAACCGCCAAACGGTTCAAAGTTTGAGAGAATCCCTACGGCCCAAACACAAAACCCTGCCTAACCTGAAATACCCCAAACTATGGGCAGTACGGACCCAGTATATCCGGACATGTGGTCCATCAGCAATTCCCTTCATCCTAAACACCCAGACCCCAAACCCAAAGAACCCATCTCTGCAGTGAAGACACGGAGTGTCGCTGGCAGCAATAGTCCTTCTTGGCGGTGGACCAGGTGCTCCACCAAGACCCCAAATGTTGGTAGCCTCGTCGTTTTGCGGATTTTTGGATTTCGGGTGATTGGGGTTTGTGGTTTAAGGTTCGGGTTCAGGTCTTAAGGTTGAGGGTTTGGGGTTTTGGGCTTAGGGTCCAGGGTTTAGGATTCAGGCTGTTGGTTGGGTGCAATGCGTGTAGGGTTTAGGGTTTAGGGGGGTTGAGCTTCGGGTTGAGAGGGCTGCCTAGACAGCGAAACTTTCCTCCCGCCAACTCCCGCCAACGAATCCTTTCTGATGTTGATAAGGTATTCTCACGGGTTTGCTAGAGGGTTTTCGAAGAGTTTATAAGGTTTAGGGCTTAGCGGTTTCTCAGAGTGTTAGAGGGTTTGATAATACGGGCTTTGACGCACTTATAATGCAAAGGGCTGGAGGTACCTGTACTTTAATCTCTTTGCATACAAGTGAGCAAATTTTGCGGTCTGCAGGGCTGAGCCACGGTTTAGGGTTTAGGGTTTAGGGTTTAGGGTTTAGGGTTTAGGGTTTAGGGTTTAGGGTTTAGGGGGTTTTGCTTGGAAGCACAAGCAAGGTTTTCAGAAACCCGGCACATCAGAAAAACAAAGCTCAGCCACAAACCTGACTTGGGGTTACTAGGATTTCGGCTTTGGTTCGGTTAGGCCCTTCTCAAGGCCCTTGTTCCTACCAAGCCACCCTAAACCCATAACCCTGAGCTCGCTGAAAACAGTGCCTCATAGCAGAAACCGGCTGAAGCTGAGCGCCTTAACCCCAAACCGCAGGCTTTTTTCACAGCCAGGTAGCAATGGTACGGCCTGAAGGCATCATCCACGTGGGCTTGCAATGTCTGGAAACCATCGGAGCCCTGGAAACCATCGGAGCTCTGGAAACCATCGGAGCTCTGGAAACCATCGGAGCCCTGGGGGTGTTTCGGCGTAAAGTTCATTTGGAGCTTCCTCTTTGTTCACCCCAAGGGTCCAAGTACCCCAATAATCATAAACTCTCCCAAATCCTAACCTACATAACTACTATCCCAAAACCGAGTACCGAAGTTTTGGGTCCTTTGGACCCTTGGAGTCAGGGGTTTCTTGAAGCCTAGGACCGAGAGACACGGGGATACCACTGCTGGGCTTAGGTTGAGGGTCTCTTAGATTCTTAGGAAACCCAAACCACGAAAGCGAAACGCGGAAATACGAATAGCAGTAAGAGTGCTAGCAATAGTGCAAACATTACGAAAAGTAATTGCAATAGTAGTAGACTGACCCCGAAGAACCTATCTTTTAAGGGATCCTTATCATGACTTCCTTGCACGAGTCCTTCAAAAAGTAGGTTATTCGGGGTTGAGGTAACATTCACCAAGAATCGTCGGAGCCGTAGTAGTGCGAGTGCGAGACATGGACGTGATGCACGGTTGGGACGGGCACCGCAACATGATGGTGGCTGTGCCCGGCCTCTGGATTAGGGTTTGGGGTTTAGGGTTTAGGGGTTTAGGGGTTTAAGGGTTGAGGGTTTGGGGTTTGGGGGTTTAGGGTTTAAGGGTGGTTCAGGGTGTATTATTTGGGGTTTCGGGTGCGAGCTTTAGGGTTTAGGATGTTTGGTTAAGCGTTTAGGTTTTAGGCCCAATCCCTCAAACACGAAGCCACGACGGCACCAGAACGCTCGAGTGGTTGCTTCTATCTTTGCATTCCATACACTGCAAGCCCTAAACCATATGAACTGTAGCATCTTGCGTATTCCCAAACCCCCGGGAGGATCTAGAAAGTAGATCCCGTAATTTGGGGCTCTGTGCGACTAAGGGTACTTTATAGGAACCCCCATCGAGGGATCTACGTTTTGGATCCTCCCGGGGGTCGGGTCTGGGTTGGTGGGGCACCTCAGGCCTCCGAGTTCTTAACAAAAGCTTCCAGTACTTCCCAGGGGTCTACACGCTGGATCTCCTCATCTCCGCCGGTCTTGAAGTTTAAGGAAAAGGGTTGAGGGCGTAGGTTGTAGAGTTATAGTTATAGAATTCAAAAGGTTAGGTTTCTTGGATCGCTTGCTTTTGCCACGGGCTTCCTGTTATTCCCCGCTGTGAGTTGTCCACATCTCGGAGTTGAGAAGAATCCCTGAGGTTGTGTTCCCCTAGACCTTCAACACAGCTCCGTCTATCTTTGCGCGGCCAGGCCAAAGGCACTTTACCTAGCACATCTCAAAGATGCCGAACGGCCGTTGGGCGAGTTGCCTTTATGTCCTTCCCTTTGTCACGCCTAGTGCCTTCCTTTCTTCACAGATTCTGCGAAATCCTTCGAAGTCGTAGCTCATCCTAAGACGTCCCATCCCATGAATTCATCCAAAAATGTCAAATTAAGAACAAGAACACACACGCGCACACACACACACACACACACACGCACACACACACACACACCAACCAACCAAGGAAAAATAACAAAGAAGGCCCCTGATGCTGGCTAAGAACAACAACCAGAAGAGGGATCGTTATAATGATGATGATAATAATAATGATGCCATGAATACCCGTAATTGACATGCCAATACCGTGAGTACGGATACAAGTAACAATACGGAATTCGAACAGGAAGAGCCATAACTCATCATCCTAAACCCTAAACCCCCCGGCCCAAGATGTCCGAGTCCTCGTGATCGACGTAGCTCACGTGGCTTACGTGGCTCACGTGATACAGTTCCCTTCCTGGGGCCGCCTCAGGGTACTCAACGTAGGGCTATTATGGGGGTTTAGGGTTTAGGGTTTATGGTTTAGGGTTTAAGGTGCTCAAGGTAGGGCTATTGTGGGGGTTTAGGGTTTAGGGTTTATGGTTTGGGTTTTAAGGTGCTCAACGTAGGGCTATTATGGGGCTTTAGGGTTTAGGGTTTATGGTTTTGGGTTTAAGGTGCTCAACGTAGGGCTATTATGGGGGTTTAATGTAGGGGCCTCAATAATTAGAATAGGGTTTTGGGCTCCTTTGTAGTATAACTATGACGAGGAACCCTAAGGAATAATACAGGTAAGTATTTCGGCTTCGATATTAACATTATTCTACGATGAGGCTTCATGGTTTAGGGCTGGCGGGTCCTTAAGCTTAGGACTATCTGAAACTGAATGACCCTGGCAGTAATAAGGCTTCTACTAGTTGGGAGAACATTACTTGGAGGGGCAGGGGACTTAGTAAGTAGGTTCTAAGTAAATTTATAAGTACCCGAGATGGAGTTACCCAATTATAACCCTACTTATAACCTACTTACTAAGTCCCCTGCCCCTCCAAGTACTTTCTGGTGGTTTAGAGTTTGGGGTTTAAGTTTTAGGAAACCCCCACCTCCTGCTGGACTGAGCCGAAGTTTAAGTAGGCGGCGAGGACGAGGCCACAGCCGAGCAGCCCCACACTTACCTGGGTTCTTTTTAAGTCAAGCTACCACAATAAAGAAACCTGATTATGGTAACATAAACCTTAAAACCTCTAACCTTAAAGGAATCCTTAAGGATCCCTTAAAGGATCGCTAGAATGGTAACTTAAATCAAAATCCTGAGCAGAAACCTTGACGCTAAACCCTGAACCCCTAAATCCTTAAAAACCCTAAACCCTAAACGCCTAAAACCCCTAAAACCCTTAAAAAAACCCTAATGTCCTTAAACAAGAGCCCAGTTACGCCCCCAATCACTTTCATGCCGAAGCCCGGAATGCTGGCCTCCTGGGGTTAAGGTTTTTTTGTGGTTTAGGGTTTAGGGTTTTTTGGTTTAGGATTTAGTGTTTAGGGTGTAAGGTTTAGCGTTTAGGGCTCAGGATGTAAGGTTCACCGTTTAGAGTTTAGGCCGTCGAGGGTTTAGGGTGCAAGGTTTAAGGTTCAAGGCTTCGTGCCGAAGCCCGGAATACTGGCTTATTGATGGCTTATTGGATTTGGCTTTATATGGTATTTGCAGTCATTTGGATATACAGCAACCAATACGGCTTGCTGATTAATTACAGATATTGCATTAAACTTCTGAAGAAGAACCCAGGTTCCCTTTGGCTCGTCTGTGGAAGCAATTGGCTCTCTTCCGACATGGCTAGCGTTGCTACCCTGCTCTTCGCGAAGACTCTTTGCAAGCCGGAGAGGTTCTTGATCTCAAATGAGCTGCGGCCATTTCCGGCTAAGTGTTCGGAATAGTGCTTGAGAAACGGACCCAAGCTGCTTATCACAGAGTGGAGTTTCATGTCTTTCGGAGCATCGTGACGTCATGCGTGCGGACCAAAGATGTGATCAAGATGACGCCGTTCCTACACATAGCAACCGTCAGCTACCATCCGTGCCCAAATGCCTGTGACCTCCTAGGCTCATTGCTTCTGAGACCGTCTGAGGAGCGGACCCGGTGATACACCACGGGCACCACACTGCCTCGAAACATCCCACACTGCTAACTGCTACGGTTGATGATATAAGTCCGGCATTGCCGTAAGGACACTCCAACTATGGGAATTGTGGTATATTCCTCATTATGGGTAATGCAGGATTTATATCATCAACCGTAGCAGTACTCTGCACACCGCAAGTCTTCCTGAATGGTGTCTTGGACTGCATCAAACCATTTTGCACCGGCACACTGCCAACTGTCACGGCTCCACTGGCGATTACCTCATTGTTAAGGAGGAGTCTGTAGGAGGTATCATTTCCGTGAAGCCGAGCTTGCTTGCCGGCCAACAGCCTCCATGAGTGACTAAGTACCTTAGCCGCCCTCAGAACCAGAAGAAAAAAATTCTCTTATTCATCCCCTTAAGTTTGAATATAAGCAAGAAAAATCATACTTCCAAAGAGCAGTAAAGGTACTGGCCATCCACAGGAGCAGTGCCTCCGTTGGGATGCACGCACATGCCAGTCTTATGCTTTAAAACAAAGTGGTCCCCCTCGGCTTCGAAGGTGAACAGGAGCCTGTCCTCATTGCCACACCCGTCGTAAGCCACCAACTCGGTATCGGTGTAAGCAAACCCCCCGTCGGGGTGGACGCATCTGCCATTCTGGAGTTGCAGGTTGAAGTAGGCGCCGCTACTCTCATAGTACAATTTCTTGAACAGCAGGGCGTTAGATGTGCTGCACGAGTCAGAGAAGACGAGATGGTCACCATTTCCGGGATTTGTGCTTCCAGACTGCGCGCGAACACACTTCCCGTTCCAGTGCTTCAGCACGAACATCTCCTACAGCAGTCTTCCCAACAAGTAGTATCACCGTTCCTTAGGGTTCCTTGCTAATAGTTGGTGTTAGTGAGGGTAGAAGATGCTCCCCAAAAACCCAAAACCCTCCAAAACCCTCAAAACCCTCAAAACCCTCCAAAACCCTTAAAACCCTAAAAGCCTCTAAACCCTAAACCCTGAAGCCCCAAAAACCCTAAAAACCCTAAAAGCCCACTTCTCCTCTGGCAGTCTGGGCAGAAGCTGCTGGCTCTCCGCTGACTTCGTGGAGCTTCGGAGCGCCTCGATGGCCTTCACTTAGAGTTTAGGGTTTAGGGGTTTAGGGTTTAGGGGTTTAGGGTTTAGGGTTTAGGGTTTAGGGGTTTAGGGTTTAGGGTTTAGGGTTAAGGGTTTAGGGTTAAGGGTTTAGGGTTTAGGCTAAAGGGATCTATAAGGGTTCCTTTAAGGGTTCCTAAAGGAGATCTGGGGGGTTTATGAGTTTAGGGTTTCCCAGAGACTCCAATATCCCTCAATTAAGGAATACCCTAAGGCTCCTAAAGGGGTCATGGGCTTTCCGGGGGAAGGGTTTGGGCTTTCTGGGGGAAGGTTTAGGATCTCACTACGAGGGTCCAGGAGCATTAGGGTATACCTTAAATCATATTGGGGATCCTACTATAATTTAAGGTATATTCCTTAATTAAGGAATATACCTTAAATCATATTGGGGATCCTACTATAATTTAAGGTATATCCCTTAATTAAGGAATATACCTTAAATTGCGTGGGGATTTGATCCTGGTAATGTTCTCTGTCGCTCACCCCACAAAGAGCTGTATTGACTGTTGGCGTGGTTGCCTTCTACAAGCTGGATCACCGTTACTTCCACTTCCACACACGCACTCCTATGCAGGCAGATCCAACGTTCGCTCGTTTTGCACACTCACGGCCGGCGGTGGATCGTCTGTGCACGGGATAGCTCTGTCTACTCGGAGGATCACAAAGATTATAGCACTTTAGCTATGGGCAATGCTTTCTAGAGCTTGTGCTCATTCTTGAGCCAAACGTTGCATGGGCGGTCATACTGAAAGGATGGATAGGCATTGCGGTGTGCGTAGCACTACCACAAGCCTACTCCTAGAGACGAGGGACGCGTGGCGTGCCCCCTTCCCTTGCACTTTACACGGTCTTGCTCACAGCTCTTATAGTGACACCTTGGAACTTGACAAGGCATCGCAGTCCGTTCGCACCCCCCATGAGTTGCGTCTCTGACGCTGCTCACCCGGAAGATGGCACGATAGGAATATCAGAAAATTTGTTCCGCCGCAACTTTGACGTATAGATCAGAGCTTTTGCATCCCAATTAGAAACGTTGTGACACTCATCTACGTCGATAACGATCCCCTGAAATGGCAAACGAATCAGGCGTCACCGAAGAAAGGAGCATTCGCGATGGAATTCCACGTGCGAAGCACAGAGATCACAAGCTTGAAGATGAGGTAGATCAGGCGTTGTCTCGCCACCATCTTCGCGTTGACGTAGGATCGCGTTCCCAGGGCCGGAGGTTCTCCTCTGGATACTGGTTCCTCTGCTTTCCTTTGTCCTTGCCTTTGTTTCGGCCTTTGCCGGCGATGTAGTCGTGGTAGGAATTGGTGTTCCAGCCACCATGTTGCTCATCTCCGGTTCTCTCACGCCCTTTTGAAGGTCCCTTTGCCGAGGAAGCGCTTGCACGTTCCTCCGTAGTGACGGGCGTGTCCATGATGGAAGTACCACCCGGAGGGAGATACTCTTCGGCCGAAATGTGATGTAATGCTTCAGGACGTCGAGTATTCGGATTTTGCTGTCTTTCAACTCTAGACTTGACCAATCTGTCCATGAAGTGCGCTGGCATTTGCACGTTGTGGTCCACCAGCAATCCAACGGTCTGGACGGAATAATCTGCATGAGTCAAGAGGATGCCGACCGGGTCGATGTACAGAAAGTCCACTGGTCCAGTTGGCGTGTTTCGTAGTACCGAAAATTGTTGATGTCCTGTCACCATCGGGATAACTTCACATAAGACGTTGAGGCAACAAAAGTGCATTGCCTTCACGTCTTCATCCTTGTTACTCTTCAAGTACGTGGTTGGATTGAAGTTATCTCTGCCGATTCCCATCATGTTGGCTCCCCGTGTCAATAGCGAAAGCATCTGGTTCGTCCGGAAGCGCTTCAAAGTGTAAGTCCCGTTGGGATCATACGACTTGAGGTTTTCAGGCTCCTTAGCAAAGCGAAGGATCTCCTCATCAGTCACGTCCCTGCTCACACCTGTTTCTTTATCCACTCCAGCCAAAGTTCCCCACTTTCCGAGCACATCATAGCGTTGGCCATGTGCGAAATTCTCTCTCATCTGAAACAACGGCATAGTCGCCCATTTCGCGAATCCTGACCAAGCTTTGTAGATGGTTCTGCATACAACGAATGCCATGTACGAAAGAGCAGCCATGTTGGCGTCGATGCAATGGGCGTTCCGTTTGCCGTGGTAGTAGGGCGGCTGCATGGCGGTGCGTGCGATCTGCAGTTCAGGGTCGATGCTCAAAGACTGACCGGCAATGAGGACGGGACGTCGTTCCTGTGCCACCGCATCTGGTACTTGGTCGTCAAAGTCCTCTCCTGGTTCCGTGTCCTTCTTCATCAGGTTCCTGTTCTGGATCGTCATCACCAACGACGGATGGTTCTGGAATTCCTTCGGGTTCCGCAACCGATTCCGCTTCCATGGCTTCCTGTTCCTCGACGGTTGCCTCAGGTACTGCTGCTGCCGCAGCTTCCATCGTCTGAGCAATGAAGTCACTTGGGATCTCCGTTGGAGTATCCCGTTGTGGAGTACCTTGGTAGTATCCGCAAGAAACGAATTGTGACCAGCAGGATGTGCATCGAGAAAAACATGCTGGAACAATGTTGTAGCACGCTGGGCATACCCTCATTCTCCTGCCGTCCTCATCTCTTCGTAGATCTTCGGGTCGCCAGTTCTTGATGACAAACTTGATGCCCTTGTCCATGTAGTGATGTCGAACCGTGTTCTCCCTGTGGGCCTCCAAAACAGTGGTAAGGTCTCGCATTATCTGCTCCTTGCTTGTGTCATGGGGTCCAGGAGGCATCTCGCAAAGCAATTCCATGATCTTGCTTGGTGTTCGATATCTCTCGAACTCAGGAAGCAATGGAGATCCATTGTAGTCCAACACCATCTCTTTCTCCAATCGTTCATCGTAGATCTTTTCCACTAGAGCGAAAGAATGTGTATCCTGAGGATTCGGGACGCAAAACCATACCTCCTTCACGAACTGGAACGATATCGTTCGACCAACGATGATGACACCGCTGTCAGTGATACGTCCACCTTCTCGGGCAAGGTCTGTCGAAGCAACATGGAGGACCACAAGTGGCATGTGCTTGGCTTGTGGCCCGTGTACCCGAGCTTTGGTCGTCGCGTTCCGGTTGTCGAACGGTGCGAACACCCCCCAGTAACTGTGGAGTCTGCCACCTCGGTTGTCCTGAAATCGACGTCGCTGGTCGAAGTCCCCGTCAGGATCCTCCGAACCAGGCATGACGCCCTGCAGAACGATAGAATCCAAGTTGCGGCATGCCGTAGCGTGGAACGCGCCCCCGAGACGTGTCAAGAGGGTCATAGATGGAGATATTGCGAACCGGTCCTTGTCCAACTGAAGCAAATTGTTCTGGGGATCGGAGTGCGTAGAGTGACCACTTGTGGCCCTGACAGCCCATGGCTTCACCCAGCCGTTGCAAACATTCAGGTACCTCTGATTGTGTCGGCAACGGTCGTTGTTCTGGATCTCTGTGATCTGATCTGGAACTGACACCAACATGTTCGAGTTCGCAGATCCAAGAGTCTCTGTGCCGGGGTTCTTCACTCTCACACCCAAGAACTGTAGCCGGATCTTGGCCTTGTGGCGTTTCGTTGCTGCAAGCATATTCCCCTGGAACAGTAACTGCAGTCTCTCATTGTACACTCTCTTCCTTTGGTACTCGTCGGTCCTTGATACCGCTTCGGTAATGCGTCT